AATACAAAATATAATGAATGTAAACAACGTGATTTGAACATTTTGACTGAAATTAGGAATGAAATTCATGAAAAATTCTATCATCATTAAAGCCAGCATCCACCGCTAGGTGGCGACCAACCTATATCTGTAAATCTGCAAGTGGCAATGTCAAATTAATTGTATATAAGTCAAAGCTGGGTTTATATCAATGTTATTGGCATTACCCGAGCATAATTTATGTTTGCAATCTCCGCTTTTTCTAAGATGTCCGAAGAACCCTCGAAGGCGGTTTTCGGAATTCAATCCTGTTGATGGTAACGAATTTTTCGAAATTAAATTAATTTTCTAGCACAAGCAATGAAAATAATGTCATTGATTTCAAACGTACACGTTCAATACAATTAACGTTTTACATTAGAGAATTGTAAAAAATTGTAAAAACTATCTGAAAATTGATGTGAATTGAAAATATTAAATGTAAATAATTTTAACTTTAAATTTTATTTTACGTGATTCATGAAAATTCCTCAAGTTTTAACACATATTTATTTGAATGCTTTTACATAAATTTCAATTCATTCACGTGTGGGCGAAAAACTTCCTCCACCTTTGCATTAATTATAAAGTAAATATTTTTAACAATATACGCGATATTATTTAGATACCCTTCTTTCTTCTCTTCATTAATTTCTCGGTCCAAATTATGCAGTTTCAAAAGTAGTCGATTTCTCAATAGTTCGAACACTTCAACGCCACTTTGGACATATGATATGGAAAATCACAGAGCACGAACGAAAGAACACGACGATAAATTGCACCTGCCTGTGTGTATATCTGCTCGATTTTGTATAATACCGCTCGCATCAACGCTAATCACATGATCCGCGTTTACAATATATAACATAAGTACACACATGTGCAGTGCTGCCGGAAGGACGTGCTCACATACGTGTGTGTGTGTGTGTCGGCGCGCATAACATACGTATGCGGATGATACGCGAAATACAAAAAAAAATTGAGGAAGAGATGGAGGGAGGGAAAAGAGATCGAGCAGATTCAGAAGACGCGAACACATCCATCAGAAAAAAAACTCACGTGCCGTACTACTACTGCTACTGCTACGTACACCGCTGTTGCGTAATCCTTATACCCGACGAGCGCCGTACTACACACTCGTAACTCGCCGTAAAGTCAAGGTTGCATCTTTGTGTTATAATATAATGTACACGCTTTTCTGGAGCGTGTATGTGTGTGTGCGTGCAGGCGAACGATGTATACGTTGCATATGCCAGCGCGCATCGGTGAGAGCTACTTTTTCTCTCTCTCTCTTTCATTATTTGAAACGCGTATGAAGTATCTGAGCTCGATGAACTTGATACGGGGAAAAAAGAGAAGATTTATTTCGATGGATGATAAATTTAATTACGGTGCATATGTGCGAATTGTTCAAAACTCGTTGGAAATGATTAAGATTCACTATGTCCCGATGACCAAAGAATTATCATTTAAACTTTTTGTAAATATACATTGCCTTCGCTTGCTTTTAGCGATTTTTCTATTTAAGGAGGCTGTAGCGAGAATGAAAAAAAATTTAGATCGAAGTGATGGTTCATGAAATTACAAGATTTTTGGTAAAAAAAATTTGGGATTTCCATGCAAACTTGGGAAATAATGAGATTCAAAGTTTTGGCCATTTAACATTGAATTATATAGGAAGTGGCAGTTTTTAGTGTACTGTGAGCTCAAATCACTTTAGAGTTAATGAAATTAATATATGTTATAGGAAATCTTATTTGCTTTCGAATGATACAATTATAAATGGGTGTTTCCGACCATTTTCAAAAATATTAAGAGTCCAACACATTTCCCCTATGTTCTGCCATGCTAATGCTATACGCTGCGTAACGCATATAGCGTTCTAATACAGAACCACCTTGCATCGCTACAGCCTCCTTAACTTATGTTATAAATAGCATTTTTAATTATCTAAAGATGACTAATAGTTTTGAAGAATTTAGACCGATTTAAAACTCAGTTTTGAGTCTTCGCCACTAGATAGCGAGTACCTTTAGCTGTAAATTTGCAAGTGGCAAAGTCAAAATAATTGTATAAGTTGTATCTACTCAAATTAATTTGGATCCTCCACATCACATTATTGAACCCACTTAAATGAACTGAAAATGACAATTTCTATGGTTTCAAAAATTGAATTTATCTTTTAACCAATTTAAATTTGATATTACTATTCCAAGTTTCCACCATTAGGTGGCTAATGCCTTTATCTACAAATCAAAATAAACGGCTAAAGTGAAAATAATTATATAAAGTTATAAAAATATGTGCGGGAGATATACGAGACGATACACTTCTTCCTATCATGTTTGATTCCCACGCCGTTACAAAGTCGAAGCAATGTTTTACACTTAAGCCTTCGAAACACAAGTTTGCTGGCGAAATAAAATTAATTGGCCGTTCACGGAGAAATTTGCTTACATTTGTCAATTATTAATACATCCAGTTATTCCATTAAGAAAAATCAATCGCGTTTCTCGTGCACGAACGAATTCATCATGCAATCGTTATTTTATTTTGGATCGTTAGACATACAGATTGGATTTGGCGTCCGTACGAGGATCTCTCTTTTCACTGTGCGCACGGGTCCCTATGCATAATAAAGTCTGTTTCGCTTTCGCCCCGATATTCCGCACGATATTCTCTACCATTCAGGTGTATTCGGTGTGAATCATTTATACCTGCCTTTACTCGGAGAATTCAGCGAAGAGAGAGAAAAAACTTGATTTTTTGCGCGTGCTCGCGCGAACCCCATGCAGATCAATTAAAAAAAAAAAAAAAAAAAAACGTAGTAAAAGAGGCGTAAGAAAAATAAACAGCTGGCAGTATTTCTTTTCCTCGACGCGCGAGATATTTTATACCAGATGTACGAGAATAAACTTTGTCATGTCTTATTTACAAACTTGGCGTAGTTTTATCATGACTGAAGCTATATAGTGTCAGCTTTGCTCGCTTATACGTATGCGTGTGTGTGCGTGGGGGATGTATTTTTTACACACTCGAGTATATATAATAATACGAAAAACACAAGGTTGAGGGAGGACTAGAAAAAAGAAAGAGCTATAGTAGCGAGTCGTCTCTCGAGGGTGTAAACAGAACGTGAGCTCGCGCGAGCGAGCGAGAAAGAAGGAGAAAAAGCTTTTCCTGGTTATGTTAATATAATTTTTCCACCTAATACAATCTCGTTCCTATTTATTTTCGATTTATATTATTCTATAAACGCGTAAGAAATTGAGAAATAAAGTAATTTGCTGTCTCAGGTAGAGATAGAGAGAGAGAGAAGAAAAATTAGAAGATATTTAAAAAATCGCGTCTGAACGGTTCTTCCTTCTCTCTCTGGCACACCGGTAATACACACGGTTGAATCTACTCGAATAATATAAACCGGATGAAGAGAGCAGCGAGCGAAGACGAAGAGAAGAGAAAAAGAAATCCTCCTTTTGAAGCGACGCGCACACAAAAACATCTTTTAAGTCTTCTAATCTCTTGCTTCTTTTTCTTGCTCTCTTCTCTCTCTCTCTCCCTCTTTCATTTTCTTTGCCCCCCTAATGCGAGGGACGATGATGCCTCTGCTGCTGCTGCTACTTCTTCGTCTTCGTCTTCTTCTTTTCCACTCTGCTACGCGTCTAATGCATATCTTAATGTCCTTGCAAAACTGCAATTTGTGTTTCTCTTTACACTTCCTTTTTTTGTGCTGCTCCTTTTCTCTCTTCCTCTTGCCTCTGTCTCGCGACGTTGGCTTACTTTTACAGTTGAAATGCGCAATTCATTTCATTACGGCATTATGTTCTCAAGTGGCAGTAATAATTAGTTATTTTTTTGTAAACTCGTATAATCAAAAGTGGATTCAGTATTTCATCCTAAAATCGTCGATGTCATTGTTATCGTTACGACTAGTTACCAAAAGCCGATAGGATAATACATAACGATGATTATTACGAGTATACAGGGATCAACCTGTGCCGTGGTGGCCTCGAGGCGTCTCGCGTACGCGTGTTTACAGGCTGCGCTTGGCTATTCAGCCCTCGGACATGGCGAATCCTTCTACGTGTTTACCATTTGACGTTACGATACTTCGCTCATTACGATATGATATTCTCCGAGAGATATCCGAGAGAAGATCCAATGCGAATATATACCGCAGATACGATATTATCTGAGGAAAATAAAATAATGGGCATGTTTCGGGAAATTAGACTCTTCCAGGCGAGTTGAGTTTGCGAATCGATAGCCGAGGAAACCATGTGAAACTTTGCTGAAGAGATACTCCTCGAGGAATACGTTTTTCCTACACCATATTTGTATACGTAATGTTGGGTCATGCGTAATTTGTGTGTATATGTACCGGAGCGAACGAATCTTATACGTTTGTTACAACGAGTCGAACGTAAATACGAAATATTGTATTTGTTAAGTACACCATCCTTTAAAATAAAATAGAAAAAACACCATCGGGTTTTCATTACCCTGAAAATCTTGTCAAGGTGAGCTGAACACGATTCGTACATTTACTACGGTTCTATTCAAATAGTCGACAACTATACAACACTTAGTTATAGCGATTACGCGTGTTTGTTTCGAGATTTTGAGAATCGACCAGATTCGCAGTGTACCTCGTCTGGTCAAAATTCTGAACACTGATAGCGATCTAATAACTCAAAATTGACGATTTAAAATGTATCAAAATACAGTACCATCATTAGTCTTGTTAAAAAGTTCAACCATTTGAAATACGTTGATGTCATTTTGAGTCTCCACCGCTAGATGGCGAGCACATTTATGCCTGCTAATCTGCAAGTGGCAAAGCGAACATAATTGCATTTATTGAAGCACGGAAAATTTAACTCGTTATCTCATATGTATCGTTTAAAAAGTATAATAGAAGCTCGTATTTTCGTGTGTTCCGCAACGCGATGATGCATAATCATATCGATACGTACTTACAGGTACGGCGAGAAGCAGCATCGCAACGACAGCAAGCCGCTCAGCGGCATACAGCTGCTCTCGGCGACGGCCTACCAATTGAAGAAGCCGTATCAGCAGCTGCTCATACCCATCACCGTGTGGATCGGCATGGAGCAGGCGTTCATCGGCGCCGAATTCACCCAGGTACGTAAAACAATATAACGATATATTGTAACATAATAATGGGTATCGATTTGTTCGTCATGCCGTTTCGCGCATTATTAGGCGTGTTTATTATTATAATTTTAAGTGCAGCATTATGCATCGACTCTCTTTGCTGCCGCTGCATTGTATACTCGCGCCATGTCAATTAAAAGTTTCGACGGCACAGCAGCAGTAGTACCCGTGCCTTATACTCTCTCGTTCACTCGATGCACGTGCAGTTCGTCGCTGTAAAGTATTATTATGTACGTACCACCACCACCATCACCACCGCGAGAGAGAGCTCTATTGTGTGACTTTAATTAATTTAACCGGTGGTACACATGTACAACGGCGCGAGCCGCATTCAAAAGAGGAAAATACGAATCGACTGAAAATGCTCGGCAATGAAAAATTTCTCCCTTACCCATGATGTATGCGTGTACTTCACATTTAGCGGAATCAACTTTTTTTCTTTCATGCGCTCGAAAAATCAGTTGAAATATCCAAAAGCCTCTGATACTGTTGCTGCCGCTGCGTAGTATTATTATTTGCACCCATCGACTTCGAGCTCTCTGGCTCTTCATGAATGTCTCTTTTACCTTGCAAATGTACATACGCTTGCGTGCATATACACTCGCGCGCGCGTGTGTCAGTTTTGCAGTTAACTCTCGGAAAATCGAAGTTTGATGAACCGACGCGTTGCCGCTGCCGCTGGAGTGTGTACTGGTATGCGAATGTACAGCGCCGCGCCACTATGAAAGCCATTTCCCTGACGTCTACCTCGCTCGCTCGCCTCCCCCGCACAGCCGTGTCTGACCCTGTATCGGTCTTTGGCCCTGCCACTCCGCTGCCGATCCCCGTGTACGTATACGTGTAAACACAAAATTGCGTGGAGTAGTTTTGTATCGTAACTTTGACATGCGGCGTTTACCCACCTGTATAGGCATCAGCGGCAGCAGCGACTATAGGTGCGCGTGCAACGCGTAGATTAACTTTGCTTTAACCGTATTGCTGCAAGCTCGATTTCCAAAATAAGACGACGTTTATTTTATTAGTATTTTTTTTTGCTTCTCGTACTGTATACACGTCAGGATTAAATTGCGAACTAGACTCTCTGCACACGCGCAGAGCTTTAACGAGCCTACGTTGTAATAAAAATGCCTGAACGCGAGTAGTAGTACCCATCCGATGCGATGCGATGCGATGCGCTTTGCTTTGAAATGAAAAGAGCTGGAAGATACCCTTTGACTCGCGAGCTCACTCCTCTATATATATCCTAGAGCTCCCACACATATTGAGAAATCTCGCTCTCTTGCTCTAGCTCTCTTTCATTCTCATTGTACGCATTCTGTAATTTTACTGTCAATCTCTCCTCTCGTTGTATATCCTCTCTCTAGTCGCCCGCTCCAGAGCTCGAGCTGTGTGCTCCATTCCTTTCTCGTGCACGCTGCGAGCTGCTGCTGCTGTCTCTTGCAAGCTCGCGAAAGCTCCATATACCCGGCTCTTGTGTACAGCAGAGAGCTTTTCTTCTAACAATTAAATGCTTAGATTGAAGCAAGGACAATTAAACCGCGCGGTGGAAAATCCTTTTTATTATTCACATCCTCGTCGTCGACGCCGGGTGAGGTAATGACTCGCGGCATCTTTTCTCTCGTAGGATACGCGTTTTTTAATCACTGCTGTCTCTGAAAAAAGTCGCTGCTGATACATCGGAAAAGGGCTTGCTTTTATAATAATGCGATAGTTCCTATCTGTATAATTAAATATGAAAAATCTTACGGGAAATTGCATTTTCACTAAAGCGGATTGTCTAAATGAATGTTGATTTTAATTTTTCATAAGATTTTATGGATCTCAAAATATTTATAAAATTTAAGTAAAATGTTTAAAATTATATTATCTAAAGAATTATTGAGGGAGTACGAAAATTTGTCCGATCGTGTTAATCAGAGTCGAACGATAACTGTAAAGTACACGGAAAAACTTTTGATCATGTTTCACGCTCGAATTCTGAAAACGAATCACACGCGAGTTTTACTCAGCTCGTTTCGTCACCAGCACTGAGCGCGCGATTCAGCCCCGAGACTGAGCTGAGACTTCAGAGACTGACTTAAGATCATAGTTAGTGCTAGACAACTCGAGGGCGTTTCGCACTCTTGACTGAGCATGAATTGTGCTCGACTCAAAGCGCGAATGTATCTCTACAGAGAATACATACATGTATTCGAGCGTGAAACATGGTCAATAGTTTTTCCGTGTAATATCCTTCAATCATTAGATACGAGATGAAATTTGCATTGAGTTGACTGAATTATCACTGCTTGCAGAATTGTTTTTTTGTCAACCATTGGTGTTACTGAATTTTCCGTATATACTGGAATCAGTTAAGGGGGTTGTCGGGCGATGCTAATGATTGACTACTTCTTCGAAGCCAAGATTTTCTATTGAAAAATCAATAAGGAGTTGATACTTCAAGAAAGGTTTCAACAGTCAAAGAATTAATTCAACACGAAATATTGTTAATTTTTTTTTTTAATTATTAAAAAGTGACTTTCACAATCGAGACAAAATAAATAACTGTTTGAATCATTTTATTGTTCTACGCATATTTGAAGGATATTTATAAGAACTATTTTTCAAAAATGTACAAAGCGTAAAATTACAGTTTTTAGTGTAGATGACTTCATTAGGGTCCAATTTCTCCGGACAAATCCCATGTTCCTGAAGTTCACTCCGACTACGTATCTCATTATGTACCTTGGTATTCAATTCTGATATACAAATAATTTTGGACTATTGCTAAATTCAAAAAGTTTGATATGATCATGTACTACAGCATTTATGTTCTTGTTAAGGTAACTCTTTTATCCTAATGATTTCTGACAAATCTCTTATTTAAATGGTCTAATTTCACATTCAAAGGGTTTGTGACGATTATGTACTGAATTTATGTGAATTTTGAGATTACTCTTTTGTCCAAATGATTTTTAACAAATCTCACATTGAAAGAGTTTGTACGGTTATGTACTTTATTTATGTGTCTATGGAGACTACCCTTACATAAAAATGATCTGTCACAGTTTTTACATTCAAAGGTTTTGCTACGATCATGTGCATTTATACGACATTTGAGATTACTCTTTTTTGAAAATAATTTTTGACAAATCTCACATTTAAAGGGTTTACTTCGATTATGTACTCCGTCGATGTGTTGAATGAGGTTTACTTTTTTTCCAAACGATTTGTGACAAATCTCACATTCAAAGGGTTTTCTATGATTATGTACTACACTTATGTGTCTATTGAAGTCACTATTAGATACAAATGATCGGTGATATATCTCACATTCAAAGGGTTTGATCTAATCATAAACCAACTTCACGTGAATTTGGGGTTATTCTGAGATGCATTCAATTTGTGACAAATATCGCAATCGAAGGTTTTGCTATTATTATGTACTCCAATGATGTGAGTTATGATTTGTGACAAATATCACTCTCAAAAGGTTTGCTACGAAGATGTACTGCATGTATGTGGGATTTGAGGTTTGGTTTTTGTCCAAATGATTTGTGGCAAATCTCACATTCAAACGGTTTGCTTCGATCATGTACTGTATTCATGTGCCATTTGAGGTGTTGTTTTTGTCCAAATGATTTGTGGCAATAGTCACACTCGAAGGGTTTTCTACCATCATGTACTGTTATGATGTGTTTTTTGAGATTACTCTTTTCCGCAAATGATTTGTGACAAATTACACACTCAAAGGGTTTGCTACGATCATGTACGGCATTTATATGAACTTTAAGATTCTTTTTGTATCCAAATGATTTGTGGCATATTTCACATTCGAAGGGTTTGCTACTATTATGTACTGTATTTGTGTGAACTTTAAGATTTTCTTTTCGTCCAAATGATTTTTGGCAAATATTACATTTAAAGGGTTTGTTACGATCATGCACTGTACTTTTGTGAACATTGAGATGGCCTTTTCGTCCAAATGACTTGTTACAGATATGACAATCGAAGTATTTAATTCGATTATGTATTGAAAAATCAATGAATATATTTTGATTATTATCATTGATCTGATTTTCGTTTTCTATTTTCACAGTAGGTAGACAACTTTGATCTTCAGTTTTGCAGATGATTGTCAATAATGACTTCGGTTCAGGTTTAACATCTCTGCACTCAAAATCGATGAATATTTTCTGATCTATCTTTTTCTGCAATGACATAACCTCATTCATGTTGTTTTCCTAAAATGAAAATTGTGTAATAGGTTTTGATAGTGAAACATAATTCAAATCAATAAACTCACAGATGATTTATGAGACAATATAAATGATTGAACGTTTTTAGCATCGCAAAAGTCCGACGAATCGAAATGGTAATCATCACCTGCATCTGCCCCAGTATCGGTCGGCTCTTCTTTCACGCTAAGCGATAAAAAAATTCAATGAAGCGATTGCCTGAAAAAATATCATGACGTGCTAAGAAAATTGTTATACCTGATCGTGTCTTCTTTGCTTCCCATCGTTATTTTGATTGTAATCACTGCAACTTTTGAGAAAATATTCGAACACTGAGAAAAAATATGTGAGGTTATGTGCTTCGAGTAGCTAAAAACACTACACCTAGATTTCACCAATTTGTAAACACTTGCTTACCGCAGGAATTTAGCTTTTCGTTAGTGACTGAACACACTACTGATATTTTAGCGAAGTTTACTCGAGATTGCCATGGCTCCTTGGCGATTCTTTCCCCCACCGTCGTCGAACGGTCCATATACGCAGTTATTAATATTCAAACTACACCGATACATATGAGAAGAAACATTCCCACAACAATAGAGATCTATAATATCTTTAAACCCATAAATATTAGAAATGAAGTTGAATAAGTCATATGAACAACAAGTAGTAATTGAAAAACTACTGCAGTCCCATCAATAATTTTACAAACTTTTTCTCTTTATTCTTTCATTTTATAATGGTATTTTTTAACTTCATATCTATTATTTTCCTTGTGAAAAAATGATACTTTAATTGATGACATCGAAAGTAAGGTATTCCGATCAGTCGTTAGAATTTGTGTGCATTAATTTTTATTTTCACGTACGACGATAATGCGCCCCGTCGCTTTCATAGTTATCGCGTCAACCGCTAGGTGTCAAGAGACAGTGTAATTCTAAACACACGAACAAAATTGAAGAGTTTGAAGGACATTAAGACGTTTAGTTTGAAATGATTCTAACCTATTGTTCTTAATGATTTTGATACGATTCGGCAAGCATCGACGGAATATTTTTTTTTCAATAAGTTTGGCATTAGCACCTCGTATTTTTGAATGAAATTACTATTTAAAACCCAATAATTTGAGTTTATACGTATGGATCAATATAATTCTTGTCACTGCCACACTAAATTCTCTCACGAAATAAATGTTTCAATATTAAATCATGCTACAAGCAATTGAATCGTAACGGTACAAAACACGCCATGGGAAACTCGATGATCTATTTATCCCAGGACCCCCGCGCGCGATGCAAAATTAAATGTTTTTTTCCGAAGTTTGACCAGGACCGTATAGCCGATGACAGAATCATTATAAACTGCCGCGGATAAAGGCTTTTTCGCAACGCAACGTCGCGAGTACAAGGCCGAGAGACAGAGAGATGGATTTCTCGTTAAAGAAGGATCTTCTCCCGTCGCGGTAATAATTTTTTCTCTGCAACTTTTTCCACCTGCGACTCCACTACTGCTGCTGCTTCAAAAGGGTGAAGGGCAAGTGAATGGACGGAGGGTGAGGGGGAAAGAAATTTTCTTAATTATATTCATACCTCTTCCCCCGCACGATGCGTAACGAGTGTAGAGGTCTAGGTACATAGCGCGCTAGGCCCTCGTTATACACCGTCGACGACAAAAGAGAGATATAAAGAGTAAAGAGCCTCGAAGTCGTTAGTTTTATAAGTTAAAGTGATCTCTCTGTCTTTGTGCTTTCCGACGTGGCAGAAAATAGAGGCGGGGTTGTACGATGTGTCTATCTATGTGCTCGCCTTTTAACCTATCGATTCGCAAGGGAAATTCGAGGACGCGGTTCTAAGCTAAACGATAATTGAACCTACGCACACTTCCTTTTTTATTTTACCCTTCGATCCTTCGAGACTTTGCCACTACGACTACTATTATTCATGTATATTCCAATACGCGAAAATCTCGTGGCTTATATAGCGGTACATAATCGCGAAGTCGCACACGAAACAGCAGCGGCAGCGAAAAATAAAATAAAAAAAAAAAAAAGAAGGAAAGAAAAGTCGCGCGCAATTAAAGCCCTACCTACCTCGTGAGCAGTGAGCGTAATCTCGGCAGTGCGCATCAGAGATCGAAAAGGAAAGGAGAGAAACGAAGAGAGAGAGAGAGAGAAAAAACGAGTCCTCGGATGAGAGGGCACACGCTGGCTTCTAGTCTCTCTTCCTCGCTCACTCTATATATATGATATTTTTTTTCTATATATAAGGCGCTATACGAGAGAGATAGCATAAATAGACGTACATCAAGGAGAGAGAGAGGGTATATCATTATCGATCTATTTCTGGTACACATACATCGTCAAGTCTTTCACTGCACAGCACACACACACTCGGATGTGTATAACCCTCTCATGGGGTCTCTCTCTCTCTTTCTGATCCGATTCGCACGACGAGCGTCGCGTATAGCGCGTAAGTAAGAAACCGAGGAATCGCGCCTATGTAATACGTCTCGTTTCCCGTAGGCGCCGGTTACAGTTAACGGGGCAAAAAGAAAAAAAAAGATTACGATTATTTTTCTTTTCCTTCGTATTTCCCCCGTAACCTAACATTTTTCTCCACCACATCGCGTCGTAGTCTGCGGGAAACGAGTCAATTTTGTCAATACAGAGATCTTCGCCCCGCGGAGCAGAGATCGCGATCGAAAAATGAAAATTCACCTCTCTGTCTCAACGCGAGTGCGAGGAATGTCGCGCGAATCGTCTTTCGCTGCAGATCGATCGATCGGCGGAGGCAAATGTGTATGTATATGGAAAGTGTGCACCGATGCGACGATCGCGATATACAATATTTTCCATCGTTCTCGTATACGCACAATGTGGGACAGCTCGAGAGCCGATGAGTATAGGTAGTAGTATATCCTGCACAACTCGACCGTATATGGTAATTATAATCGCGTTTATGACGTATCTATAGTGCTGGCATGGCGTGCCGATCATCGGCGCTCGCGTATAGCTTATAGCCACTTATTAAAATCTATTTATAGATGGAAAATATTCGCGTTTTACCCGTTCGAGCGCGCGTAACGAGATCACCGTACGTACATACCTACGAGCTATTTTAAGCCTGGCGCCGTGTCCATAATACGGAGATATAGGATGATTCTCTTTTTTTTTATATTTTTTCCTTTTTTTCGGTACGAAAGTGGAAAAACGATACGCTGCTGCATGTAGTGTAAGTATGCAAGCGATGTAATTATTTTCATTTATATCCTTCTCGCGAGTGATGCGGCTCGCGCGCAAATTATCGTGTAAAGCAGCTGCTAGACGAGAGAGAGAGAGAGAGAGTCCAGTTCTATTCTTAGAAACTCGAAGAAATTTTTCCCAGTATCCTTATTCTTATTTTAAGCATACGGGCATGAATATTCAATCGGTGGTGCTAAAGTATATATATCCGTATGGCAACGTGTCCTTATACTCGCATGACGAGCTTCGGCGCACGGAACCGTTGAGGATGAAAAACTTTTGCAAAAAAAAAGTGTATACGCGCGTGCACACGTGCGTCCGCGTATAAGATCAAAAAAAAAAAAAAAAAAAAAAAAAAAAANGAGCTTAAAAAATTTAATAAAAGCCCGAAACACGTAATAATAATACGGCGGGGAATGAAAAAGAGTCACGCGGCAGCGAAAAAAAATATATTTCGTTTTGCAGTTGCTTCGCTATGCACGCGTGAACGGCGATATAGCATCCATGCAGGCGCGCGCATCGAGAGAGGTAAATCGACACTGTGCAACGGTGCAGTGCGGCTACATCGCCACCGAGCCTAAAGCCAATTATTCAGTTTGCTTGGTCTATGAGTGTGAGAGTGTGTGTGTGTGTATGCGTGTGTTTGCGTGTGTGGGTACGCGTACATATATTTATACAGGCTCTGTATACGTTGCTCGTTGACCGGATAAAAGCTCCGGAGCTGCTGCACGTGCATACGTATAAAATCTAATTCCCATACGTTAATTTTACACTGACGCTGCTGCTGCCGTAAACAAAGTTACGTATTCCCCACCCTCTACACGCACGCATGTATACGTATGTGTGCGTGCGTTCAACTGTCCCATTAAATTGGGAATCTCTTTTTGGCATCGCTCAAAATTTCTCTATGTACGCATATTTCCTCTCTCTCTCTCTCTCTCTCTCTCTCTCTCTCTCTCTATCTATGTATATATTGGCAAATCTGCACCACTGCTACTACAGGCTAGATCAAATGAAAAAGCTCATACATAGACGCGTACATGTATGTATGCAATGCCCTACGGTGGTCTGGATTATCTAATTTCAAACGGACCTTGTAAGCTTCTCTCTCTCTCGTTGAATCCATACACTTGCCGCGCTTGCACGAGAGGGTTGCGAAACGTTATTGCTGCTGCTAGTAGTATATATAGCAGTGGTAATTTTTGATTCCGATGTATCTGATGTTTGCTAGAGCGCACGCTCGGCCGAACAAGCTCGTAGCATAATAAACGCGGTGGTAGCAGCTAGTTCTATATACATTATAACTCACGGCATCCGTGAGATCCCTCTTGTAATGCATAATTGGTCGGGGGCATGTTCGCGTGTGGTATACATATCATATATGGCACATACATAAGAAGATAATAGCATTAAATATTCACAAGCTTGCGGATGAAATTTCATCAAGACACGATAACAATATTAATAATAATAATGATGATAATGATAATAATTGTTGTTACTGCTTTCCTTCCTCCAGGCGTACATATCCTGCGCGCTGGGCGTGCACCGGGTCGGCTACGTGATGATCTGCTTCGGAGTGGTCAATGCCGGCTGCTCGCTCTTGTTCGGCTCGATGATGAAGTTCGTTGGGCGCCAACCGCTGATAGCCCTGGGCGCAGTGGTCCACGCGTCGCTCATAGGCGTTCTGCTGATGTGGCGACCGCATCCCGACGCGGCCTACGTTTTCTACACGGTCTCGGGCCTGTGGGGAGTCGGCGACGCCGTCTGGCAGACGCAAATCAACGGTGAGTAGCGATAATTGAGAGTATCGCGCAAGACACGGAGTTTCTCTCTGTAGTAATATCCGAGAGCTTGCGCAGAAGACGATCGTTGGGATAAGACCAAGAGAGAGAGAGAGAGAGAGAGAGAGAGAGAGAGAGAGAGAGAAGCTTGTGTGTCTCGATTGTTTCAAAAGCTCCGCAGAGTGTCGTTATGAGTGTATATACAGTAAAGCGTATTGTTTGTGTGTGCGCATGTTAGAGCTATATACATAAGCCCCGCGAAACTTTGAGCACATCGACGTGTGCTGCTGCTACCGAGGCTTGTGTTTGAATGCAGATATCTTCTTGGGCTACGGGTATTACACCCAGCTGTCTATTGATTGATGCTACTTCGCGTTATTGGTCTGTGTTTTCGTACTTGTCTGTGTGTGTGTGTGTATTCGTTCGCTCCTTGTACATAAAGTTTAATTCGCTTCGCGCCCGATGAGAAATAATCCTCGAGAGACGTCGCTCGTCGGTGAGCGAACATTTCTCACGCTCTTCTGAGCCGCAAGCTCGACTCCTCTCGCTTTGCCAATTTTCAAGTCATTTTAAAGTAACTTCATATTTACTTCTTTTTTTATATTTTAATTTTCCTTTTTATATATTTTCAATCATTCATCACTGAGAGACTTCGAAGCTCGCTGCTGCTGCTGCTGCTGCTGCTCTCTCGCTCGAGATGGATAATTCATCCGAGAGAAGAGTAGAATTCACAGGCGCGCTCAATAAATATCAGTCATACAGTACGTTGCGTCGAAATAAAAGAGAGAACGCGCAACAGTATTGGAGCTTTTTTTTCCTTCGATGCACTTAACGTTATAATTAAAATAAAAATAAAGAATATGATACAGAAGCCCTGAAATTTCGTGTCACCTTTGACTCGAAATTATAAATGGGACTGTTAACCGGTGTTCTCTCGTCTGTATAGTACACGCCGCGGATGGTTCCGAATCAATGAATCGACGATAATGTACAAGCTCTGCCTGTGCCTCTATCTCTCTTTTTCTGCATCCTGTTTATATTTATTCGAGCCAAGCGAAGCAATCACAAAGTTGCACTTTCAAATGGCAATGATAATAAATAACGATGCGTTTTCTACCCACACGAGTACGAAAAAATAGAGTCCCGGTCTCCTTTGATTTTATCGCAACCCCGCGCGAGTCGTTCCTTTCAAATTTGTCGATATCGCCTGCAACCAACCACCCAGTCATTATTCGGCATCGTGTCCGCGTAATCAAATTTTATTTACAATTAATTAAAGTAGAAAAAAGCACGGATTGTTAATACTATGCTTTTTTGCATTCTCTCGGGCCAACTCATTGCTATAGAGAAAATTAGCTCGATTGTGTCCAGACGAAATTAAAATTTACTTGGCATATAAATTCTCTTTCTCTCTCTCTCTCGAGGTGAGAGTCTATAGTGTCACGTGCACACACGACGCACAGGATACTCTTTGCTCTCGCGCGACTATTAAAAGTGAGCGTATATTGTGTATAGCAATAATGGCTCCACCACTGATAATTATCTATGGAATTCAAGAATGCCCATTAAATTGTACATACACACACGTAGTTAGAGTCGCCCCGTAATAAACGCGTTATATTCTCCTCCGCGTGCGATATAATGTATCGTTGTAAATGTCGCGCGCGTACCCGCGATACGTCAAGCGCGATTTGCATATTATATTGTAATTTATCGAGATAAGGTGCGCAGGAATCGAGTGGCAGCAGCAGCAGCAGCAGCGCAGAGCAGAGCACAAGGTTAACGATACACACTTACCTTATACAGAATAGTAGATTTTCTTACAAGGGGGAGAAATGAAACTTCCGCATGCACGTGATAATGGCGCCGAGGCGAAGCCGAGGCGTCATATCACGTGTATGAGGGTGTTTCATTTTTCACCCGTGTAAGAAATAGTATTTTTTTCCATCCCCGCGCAAAAGTTTTCATAAAATTATCCAAATAAATTCAAAATAAAAAAATAAATTCAAGATCTCAATGCACAGAAGGACTTGCATTTGTTTTTTCTTTCGCATCGAGGTCTTGATTTGCCGTCTGATTGTGCAAAAAACAAAGCGGTTATGGTTATTATTGACTTTTACATGAAATCAGTTACATGTGCTGCGAATTATTTTCCTTTACTTTTAGCATTGTTAGCGAAGCGAGTCATACTAAAATTTAAAATACGACTCTGTAATTAAGCTTCGAATTTTGATGCTCGCCCCGACATTAGCATCACGAGCGAAGCGAGTGATGCTGGTCGGGGGGGCGAGCATCAATAACATTAATATAAAAAACATTATTTTTATTTTGATTTGTGTGTAACAAGTTACACACAACATTCTTTCTCGTCCGTAGACATACCATCATGCGCGAATGATATTTCAGAACTCTGCATAATTTTTACCACGTAATTAGTATAACGCCTCTACGTATTGATGTGTCTTCGACAAGTAGTAGGCTAAGTAATACGGGCGATAAAATTATAAATATTACGTTGCTAGGCTGAGCTGGCCACAGCAACCACTGCATCTGTCGGACACGCAGAAGTTGGCAAAAGTTCTTCTTTTTCTACGCTACGCGTACGGCGAAAGTAAATACTTTTGCCGGAAGGATGGAAAAAACTTTTTTTTTTTTGCTTTTGCTCCGCGGCATTGTGCGATCGATCGATAAATTCGTTATTTTTTCCTTCTTACATTTTTTTTATCGCTCGTCGGGTAGGAGAAACGATACTCTCGCTCGGGCTCTTACTTGGACCTTTTTAAAAAGTAGTATAAAGTTTTCCTCGAAGCTGCTGTATAGCTGCTGCTGGGGCGCTTGGGTTGCAAATCAAAGATCGATTCGCGCACCGAGACCCACGAGCCGTGCTGCACAAGGTCGCTACTCATCGTACTACCTATTATGTATCTGTAATGCTCCGCTGCTGCTGCTGCTGTTATTGCTGTAGCAGTATAGAAGCTGCCTTTATAGGCTTTAATTGTATACATTTTTTCGTATCGTTTTTTGCCCCAGCAGAAGCGATTTTTTCCTTCGTCTTCTTTCTTTTTTCTCCCATTGTCGCGCCACTATGTTTTTCGTCGTTATAAAATCTAGACCGTTCATTTATAGATTTTTTCGTACATATTGTATACTCGTAAGTCGTTAGCCGTGCTACAAATTGTCGCGATGTATACATGTGTGTGTGTGTAATGTTTGTTTGGCATGCTTTTTTCAGACGTCGCTCGTGTGTCTCTTATGAGCAATTATTTCTCAAAAAAAGAAAGAGTCAAAAAAGAGAGGAACAATATAAAGCCAAGCTTTTTTTTGCTATACAATATATGCGCTGTATATAGGGCGCCATGGAAACGTGGAGCTTTCATCTTGAAAATGTTCTTTAGCAGCAGCTAGCAGCAACCGTTTCTTTTATCGTCTCTCATTAATTAGAAAATCAAAGAAAATGATTCTCTCTCTCGCTTGCTCACTCTCACTCTCTCTCTCTCTCTCTCTCTCTCTCGCTCTCTCTGCAAATTGAAAGGACTAGTGCGGTAAGGTAGCCCGAGAGTCTTTGTCTTTCTTTCCTTCTCTCTCTCTCTCTCTCTCTCTCTCTCTTTATTTCTTGCTCTTTTACGGGCAACTTTTTCAAACCTTGCTTCGATCTACTGCTACTACTACTACTACCACTACCTACTAGGCTTTAAATCCTTTTCCCAACTTAGGCGTATAAATGAGTGTGCGAGAGTAGTTCAAAGACTAACGGAGATTCAAATGAATTTAAATAATTATCTTTTCCTCTCTCTCTCTCTCTCGCGCCGCCGACACGGAGGTGCAGCTGCTCTGTATATAAATTGACGGTGTGCATACACACAGAGGAGAGCCCATTTCCCATTCAAATTTTTTTTTCTGCTACTGAATTCCCAAGTGATTTGTTGATATTTCTTTAATCAATTTTTCCTGCTGCCGCCGCCACCACCACCGTGGCAATGAATGTATAAAAAGTCGCGGGCGCGCGCAAGATGAAATATGAATTTTAATCAAAAGAACTTTGTTCGCGTCACACACCGAGCCGCGATGTATGAGGTCAATTTTTTAACAAAACGTACCTTTTCTCACCCCGCGGGGGGCTTACAACAGGCGCGCGCGCATACAAAGCAACAAGTTTTAATTGCGTTACCAAGGCGTTTTGGGTTACAGAGAGAGAGAGAGAGAGAGAGAGAGAGAGAAGTAGTAGCGAGTATTTTAATTGAAAGCAATTAGACTTTATACTTACTTTCTTTGAGGGAAAGAGAGAGAGAGAGAAAAAAAAAGAATAGAAAAATTAATTCTTTTACTTCTAGCCGTTTTTGGCGCCGGCTCCTTTAATTTACGTGTGTTTGTGTTTGACTTGTTATTCATTACGTCCTTTCATTAAGCAGTGCTAACTTACATCATCCGCTTGGTCAAATTTTTCGGGTTGATCAGGCGCGCGACTCAATTGTCGCTCGCGAATAAAAAGCAGTATAAATGCTGGTATTTCCATATTTCTCTCTATTTTTTTTTTATTATTGCCCGTCGGGCAGAAGCGGAGGTTGACTAAATTTGCGTGCGCGGAGAAAAAAAACAGAAAAACTAAACGAAAATTCTTTACAGCTTGCACAATAGCTCGAGGCCTCATTACCATAAACCCCTGGCAACTTATATTATTTAATTCGATAACGACACGCCATCTGCTCTCGTTTTCTCTCTCGCTATATATTTGCTCGAGCTATGAATTCGTTTTGTTATTGTTGTTGTTGCTGCAGGAGTGCTATAGTATTTTTTCCTCTCTCTCTCTCTCTCTCTCTTTTAATGACACTGGGGTATTGCAAAAAGCTATATACACAGCTAGCAGCAGCAACTCTGCAGAGAGATAGAAAGAAAAGTCAATATTCCTTTGACGGTATGATAACTGTAATTGTGGGCGATGTCAGGGGCGCACCCATAGTATAAGAGCTCTCTCTCTCTCGGCTCTGCGCAAGTATAATCTCGGAAAAAATAAATTCGATCGAGCGAGTACGTAACGAAAGTCGATACTTTGATTATTACCGCGCGCTGTGCGCGCTGCAATCCGAAAATCATCATCCGTATGACTTTGAAACTCGAAGGTAATGAATGAAGAATTGTCGTTTTGTTCTCCGCAGGCCTCTACGGCACGCTGTTCCGTCGCAACAAGGAGGCGGCCTTCTCGAATTTCCGCCTGTGGGAGTCGGCGGGCTTCGTCATCGCCTACGCCTACAGCACCCACCTGTGCGCCCGCATGAAGCTCTACGTGATGCTCAACGTCCTGATAATCGGCAGCATCGGCTACACCATCGTCGAGCTGCTGCACAGGCGCAAGCAGAGGAGACTGAAGGCCCTGGCGGAGAATCCGAAGGCGGCGCAGGCGGCCAGCGACGCGGCGGCCGCGGGACAGCTGGACGAGACCGACGACGAGAAGGACGACATCGACGACGACATCATTATCACGCATCTGTGAGGATGATCAATCCTCGCGCGCGGATTTGATTTTTGTCTTTATTATTTATGATTAAGTATATTTTATTTTACTCGATGCGAAGTTGTCGTCGTCGGAGTGTCCTGTGTACATTCGCTCTCTCTCTCTCTCTCTCTCTCTCTCTTTTATCTTCTCTTCTTTACTCGACGCATGTTTTTGTTTTTACATTCTCGCACGAAAAACTATTTCAGTTATTTATCCCGTTTTTTTTATCGTTTTCCTGACTACACGTACGTAGAAGCGTGATAACGAAGAGTCACGAGAGAGATTACACAAAATTTGTTTTTGTTATAAGCTCGAGCCTATGGTGATTATTATTCGGTTTTTATCGGTCGAACACTACGTCGGGAGAAAGAAAACGAGAGAGAGAGAGAGAGAGAAAGATAAAAATAGAAGAGAGACGAGCGCAATGCGCCTCGCTCTCTCGTGTCTGAAGCGAATTGAATATTGAAAGCTGCCCAGAAGAATGTATGTGTATGCTGTATATATATATATATAGGCGCGCAGAGCTAGCTAGCTAGCATAGCACGGCTAGATGCTCCATGAAAAATGCAGTAGGTAGCCAGTAGGTAGCCCTTTTGCGAAATGTGACGCGCGCCGCGCCGCGTCCGATGAAAGGAAATCATCGATATCGAATCACGATGTGTGTGTATACTTACGATATATATATAGAGAGAGAGAGAGAGAGAAAATAGGTGGGCTAAAGCTGGTGGCCGCCTTTTGAATATCATATGAATGTTATACGATGATAATCATTTAAGTGCCTTTACATGTAACGAAAATATATCATACACTATTGGCTTGTTTCTCTTTTTATCCCGGTCTCGAGGTGTACGACAGATCATCACGAATTGTAACAACAATAAGAAATATCGATGAGTCGAAATTTTATTTTTGTAGAAAACTTCGATATGATAATCATGATGAGTAGACAAATCTTTTTGTACATATATATAATTATAAAGTATAATATAATGTTCACACGAAAAAGCGAATACAACGAGAATAGACTTAATAATTGTGTTGGAAGAAAACTAAGACGGGGCCTAGATTATGTAGGCTGTGAGATATAATGCTAGGAGGCTGAGCTTGGGCCCTCAATTGTTTTAATGTATAGACGGAAGAAACGAGAAAAATTTTATTTTTGCAAAAAACTACTTACTTTGTTATTGAAGTCTATTCGTTCGCTCTGAGAAATTCATTTTCATCGCAATTGTATTTGAATGGGTGTTTATGTATAATTAGGGATGAAATGTGTTCGAAAAAAAAAACAGTTAACAGTTGGTCGAGCATTGTTCTAAAAAATGACTTGGAATTATATCTTCAAAAGACTAATTGAAACAGTATTTTGACATTAAAAATATATACTTTATTGTAGAAAGAAAGAAAAAATTTTAAATCTCGAGAAGATGGTAAAGAGAAAGAATCATGTAGATCTACATTCGACCGAATAATTCGATGTTCACAATGCGTCGTTCGTAGAATTTCTTCCTTATACATTCATAAACATATATAAAGAAAAGGAATCTTATATACCATGTATGCTTACCTGCCGCAATTGTGTTGCCACCACAGTACATCAAAAAAATTCTTTTATTTTTCGTCGTTCGAGTCTCTATATACCTCTCGCAATTATTAATATTAAATAAGTTGTAAGTGTCTTCTGGTAAGGCTATGAGCATGAAAATAATTCTTGATTATAGGTCTTATGAACGCCGTGAGAGAGGCTATATTTTATTATTATAAATATATATTTTTATCGATAAAATGACGAAACATTTTCTTGAGCTTGAGCGCACGCACAAAAATAACAAAAGTGGCAGGTGTGAATTTGTTAAATGTTTCACTTTTTAATCACGTTATATTATACTTACAACAGTTGTTAATTAATTAATTTACTATTAACTATTGTCATTGTAATATCGGTAGCTAATATTATCATTTTAATTTTGGAATGTCACGCGGGATTGTGCAAAAAAAATGAGTACGAAAACTTGTACAGAACGTCTCTGTGTTATTAAGTAAGGAAATGCACGGTATGAACAGTGGCATTAAATATCGCGTTCTTCCTGCGAATTTGATTTAGACGAAGAAAAAAATCTAGATATATAATTTTACATATTATTATTATTATACTCACAAGCTATCGATTGATATTCGGTGAGACGCAATGTATAACATCTTGTATTATGTGGGTGATTGTGTGCGTATGAATGTGTATATGTGAGTGTGACCAACGTATATATTGGAAACAAAACGAGAAAACTCGAGATGTAGAACGTTTGTACGATTTTAATAATGAATCGTTTGTTGTTTTGTTATATCGTTGAATATTGGATCGGTATGGTTATGAGTCGCAGTTTACGGAAAATATAATGAAGAAAAAAAAGAAACAATTTCCATTTGTAATCGCACGCACGTAATTATTTTACTCCACTCATTAGCCTTATTAAATAATTGCATATTATAAATATATTCTATTGTTGCCTAGTTTACGTTTTATTGCGTTACTTACTGCGTTTTCATCTTTGGAAAATGCCGAGTGATGCTTCGATAGTTGTTATAATTAACTAGACCCAAATTTATTGTTATTTACATTTTAATTATTGTAACTTGTTATGATACTTCAAACATGCATATATAGCGTTAGTAAGCTGAAATTGACTAAAGTAATTGATTATAATTAAAATAATGAAAAAATTATAAAAGTATTGTATTTTATTCAGACATATCTATGTTGCCTTCCTGGATTTTCGAAAATCCCGTTAAAAAATAATTAAACTTTTGATTTAAATGATTTAATCCGTAATAAAGATTAAAAAACTGTTTTTGAATGAAAAGTGTTGCAACAACAACCCCTGAAAAATTCAGCACAGACAAACTTGATACGATCAGTAATCCTCTTTTCCTTTGACGACGAAAACAAAAAAGGCACTATTTTATAGAATACTTTAATATTGTGGTAGGGAGTAAAAAAATTGAATATTCACAAAGATTTATAGTATAAGGGTAGTTTTATTTTCAATCAACAAAACACATTGAAAGATACACTTTCAATATTTCTGTAAAATGCAAATATGTTCAGAATTTCCATTCGTAGAGTTATTTACAAATATTATTTTTTTCTTCTTTTTTTTCATTCTATTCGAAACTTGGTACACAAACGCGTAACATCCGTAGACTCCATTATAATTATTTTTGATGATTTTTATTTTCTCGTGAACAAATTTGTTTTGGCAACGGTAATTATAGATCGTTATATTAGAAATACACTTTCGATCCGTTTATCTCTGCTTCTAGACCTCTTCTCCTTCCCACAATCCAAATCTAATTTTGTACATCTATTGCGATAGGAAAACTTTTTAACTTTGTTTCGTTTTTTTCTTTTGTTAATAGGATCATGATGATTATGTAGAATCAATTGTACACTTTTTACCGTTAGTTTATTAAGGAAAAAAAGCTTTCGTAGTCTGTACAAATATTTCTTTTCTTCATTTTTTATTTTTTGATTTAACATTTACACCTATGTAAGGAGGATGATAACAAATTATAAATTACAAATATTTACACGAAACAATATATACTTACAGCGAGAAAAAAATATACAATTTTTTTTGAGTATTCAATATTCACAAATTGACTTAAGTATTATCAGTCTTTCACTCGAGAAGACTACAATTTACAATGTGTATGTGTTACTTTTTTTTTGTAAAAGATGACAAACATTGAAGTAAACGTTTAGCCTTTCGACGGAGATAACAGGAACAACTACATGCTTTTTCGTTTTCATTTTTATTTTATTTATTTAATTTAATTTTTTTGTCTATAATTATGTGGAATGCAACATTTATACCATAAGCATCTTTTAATTACTTTATTTTCTTTTGAATACTACTTTTTAGAGTAAAGAGCTGCTTCGATACAAAACTACAAACATTCAATTATGTGTGTTTGGCCACTTGACGGATCGAACTATGGATTTTTTTTGTAAAGAATCCAAGATTTAAACTCTAGAAATTCGGCATTACCGAATTTTTCGGAAATTAAATTTTTTATAGCCGTAATGTTTATTTTAGATAACGCATTGAGAATCTTTATAACTTTATATGAGTTTAGAATGTCACGGACTTACAAACATTTTTACTTTTTTTTGGTTATAAGTATCTATGAACCATTGAATCGACGATTCAACTGATTTATTTAAAAATGATCTATTGGCACATTCGCCGTTAAATGTGAATAGTTTATGGTCGTTGAACACACACTATATTTTGCGATTTTTTTATTTAAGTACTTTTAAAACGAGATTCTAATAATTTAAAAATTAAGTACATCAAGTACTTTTTCGTTCACTAAAAACGTAAGTAACTAAAGTGGTCAATTGTATGACTTTTTAAAGGGTGGGTAAACAATACTTGAACACTTGGACTCATTGGTGTGACGAGTTCACGTCGTTTTGACTAGCTTTAATTGTTTTTTAAGTCTTGAGTTTATTTTTATTAAAGAAATGTCCATCAAGAACTTCGAGCAGCGATCATTTCGATAATTTTTTTTAATTTTCTTAATAGGGAAAGGATATGCAGATATTAAGGCTCAGATGAATTTATGTTAAACTCTCGCTAGAATTAATAATTACTTCTTTTTAACTACAAATATCAATGCAATCGCTGTTCGAAGCAAGGCGAGTTTTTTTCAAATAAAATCGTGTCGTTGCACGAAGAAAAAAGTTTCGAACTTTTTGTTCCTCGATTTTATGTAAAAAATTTTTTATCTCGGGGGGGTCTTTAAAGCTTATCTTATAGAAACAAAGTATGGTACCGAGCAGTCGATAATTAAAATGTTTCAATTCGAAACCTCCACCTCTCTGACGCGGACCATGATATTTCGTATCATGCTCGGTGGAATTTTTCAAAAACAATTCCGTTGGCCAACTGGAATGTTTTTTTTTCAATACCTTTTTGAGAATGACTCTCTGCCGATTGCAAATTAATTGTAAGAAAATAATTAATGCTATTTCAACCAGGCTGAATTTGTCGAGCTCGGATTACCTGAAATGAAAATTTAATATAGTTATTAAAGTTATGCAAGTTATGCATCGAATGAACTTGAATTATGTCTTTCAATTAGTTTCTCGATATTTATTTATAATCGAAAAAAATATATTCACAAGTTCGTGTGAATAATTTTTGTATAAAAATAGTTCGTTATAATTGGCAATTATAACATAATAGAGTCAAGATTTTATATTAAAAACGTTGACGATTCTACATCACGTCATTAAAAAAATATACATTCGAGTAGAAAAATAAAATCGAATAAAAAAACTAAATCTGTCTCCTGAGTATTAATAGCAATGTTAGGATACTTTTTCTCACCTTATTATTAAATCTTAAATCGTAAAAAAACTTCAGACGACGTTAGTAGAATATAATAATCGAAATGAATTCGTTAAAATCGTGTTAGTTAGTTCATCTCAAAAAATTATTCATGAAATACCCAAGCAGGGAGCAACGAATTTATTGGCAAAATATCTTAACGTATTGATTTGACCTGCAATGATTCGCGACTTATCATTATTCGAGTTTACTACGGTTAACGGAAGCTCGGCCGCGGCGACTCTCAGAGCGTACAACCGATCTTCTTCTTCTTCTTCGTCCTCGTCTTCGTAATCTTCAATGTCTTTGGGATTGAGCTTCAGTGACGTCACGCCGGGATCCGACGGCGAAAAAATCCTCGGGAACGCGGCCGATCATCGCGCGTTTTTCTTGCGCTTGCGCTTCGACGCCGGCGAGGCCTGATCGTCGGACTGCAGCTGCGTGTAATTGACCACGGGCACGGCTCGCTTGGACGCCCTGGGCGCTTTCTTCGAGTTGCTGCTGTTACTGTTGTTGTTGCTGCTGCTGCTGCTGCTGCTGCTGTTGCCGTTGGTGACGATCGTTTTCTTGGCCGCTTTCTTCTCGACGATGACTCCGACGTTATCGTTGGCATTCGATTTTCGTTTGCGCGACGCGGGGACACCGCTACTGCCACTACCACTGGGTCGACCCCTGCCACGCTGCGGAGGAGCAGCCGCAGCAGCCGTAGTAGGCGACTCCGTGCTCGACGTGACTTCCACGGTAGCCCCGAGGTCCAACAACATCACCGACGGCGATTGCGGTGGCTTCTCGTGCATCGCCAAGCTCGCCGCCGCGAAGTTGAAAATGTCGGAATCGTCGCGGCAGTCGTCGAGCAGCATTCGCGGAGAGACCGACTCGACCGCGAGCGGCACCGGTGTTCGACGATGCTGATTGTACTCCTCCTCCTGCAGCTTCTGCTCGGCCATGTAGCGCTTCTTTATCGGCAATCTACAGCTGGAACTGCTCGAACCACTGGACCTGACTACTTTTACCTTCTTGATCTGCTGCTGCTGCTGCTGCTGCTGCTGCTCTTTTTGCATCTGCTCCACGGCGCTACCCATAATTTTTTCCAGTTGTTCCTGGCTCTCGTCTCTCTTCCTCTTTCCACCACTACTACTGTTCGAACACTCGTGGACGGCCATATCGCTTTGTACAATATTTGACGTGGCTGGGGCTCCGGTCGGCGGCACGTAGTACGCCGGCACCGCGCGAAACAGGGCGCAGTGACAGTCGTGCAGATGGGCGCCCCTCACGTGCGCGAAGGCGCAGTACGGATTCGGCGGCAGATAGCTCGGATAGCGATGATGATCGTAGGGCTCGGGCGGGGGCGGCGTCTGGGACACGACGACGACGCTCTTCTGCTTCTTCTCCGCGACGACGTCTCGGCCGTGCAGATAAGCCGTCTCCGGGTCGGGCTTGAACTCGGTCTTGATCTGCTGCTGCAATTGCTGCGCGCTGTTCTGATAGTTGAACTTGATCTCCTCCATCTCGGCCTTGTTGATGATGTAGAGATTGCTGTTGGGTGACTTCTGGAAGAGGCGGACGGTCTCGCCGTTGAGGATGACGTTGGGGTGCTCGTTGCTGCCGTCGATGGACGCGGGATCGAACTTGAACTCGTGACCGTACGCAGCCTCCTGGTGCAGCCTCGGATTGGTGTCGGCCTCGAGCTTCATCATTTTCTCGTTGAGATACTCGGCCGCAGCGCTTTCAAGCTCCGACTTGACCTTGACGTGCCTCGCCGAGATCGTGGCGAGTAGCGTGAGCCCGTCGATGTCGTTGGCCTGAACGATGTCCGCGTACTTCTCGGCGTCCATTAAGGGCTCGTCGATTTTATCATTAAAATCCATCGCCAGCGGTGACTTGATCTTTACGGGGCTCGATTTCGATTCGCGCAGCGATTCTTCGCTCGCCACGCGTATCACCTTCGAGCCAAAGTCCAGCTTGGTTCGTACCGTTTTCTCGTCTTTCGCGTCCGCGATGGATTTTTCGCGACCGAGAGACTTATTGATTTCAGTGAACACATGATCGGTATCCGATAATACTTTATTGTTAATTGCTGGCGCCGACTTTTCTTCGACCTCTTGCTTCTTCGGAACTTTTTTATTATGATCAGCATCGCGCAAGGCACTGATTTGTTTCGCAACTTTTGCAACGCCGTCTTGTAGATTTTTGGTCGATACTAGAATACTGTCGCGTATCTGAGACGACTTGTGATGCTGATATTCTCGGCAGGGCGGTGGGACGACGTCGACGTCCATCTTGTCCTTTTGTATCAATGGATCGATGATCACCGAAGATTTGTTGAAGGCTTCGGTGTCGATTTTTTCGTTCGGCTTTGCGACGGGTGATTTTAAAACCGTAGGAACGGGATGGTCGTCCTTTTTGGATTTGTTAACGACCAAAACGGACTTCGAGACTTCGATGATAGGTTTGTTTTCCTTCTCCGATATACCGTTCGTCAAAGGAGCAGGCAATATAACTTCGTCTTTTTCAAATATATTATTATCGACCAATGGACGAGGTAGAGCTTTGGAAACAGGCTTTTCTTCCTTTTCCGACATATTATTACGCTCTACACAGGCCGGCGCAATAATTGGGTCGGACTTCCTCTTCTTGTTCTGTCCCTGTGTCGTAGGCGTACTCACGATCAAGCGAGGTTGAACGACCGCTGTCTGACTCTGCTGCGTCGTCGTTGTTGTTGTTTTTTCTTGCTCCATTGACGCCGCCACCGCCGCTGCAGCTTTGTCGTCGGCCGTCGTTGTCGTCGTCGATACCTCGGGCTTTTTGTCCTTTACCTCCGATATATCGACGGATTCAAAAGTCGACTCGTCGTTGGTCGCGTCGGCCTTTGCGCATCTCACCGGGGGACTGGCCGCGAACGCCTTGCGATCGTAATGAATTTCCGGGGTTATCGTGATCTTCGTGAAGTTGCTCGCGAATGCGTCTTCTCTCTTCGGCTTCGCTGAAAGTGTAATTTTGTTGCTGCCGTTGGCACTCATCTCGGTGTGTTTCTTTACGTCTTCGAGCCAGCCGATTTTTTTTCGCTTCGACAGCTTGATGACTTTCGTGATGTCGTCGTCAGTCAAATCGATTAGAATATCGTTGTTCTTGACTTTTTTACTATTGATATTGTTATTGGTAATTTGCTTGGGCGTACCGACATTGTTATTGTTATTGTGATTCGCGCGGGGATCGATTTTTGACTCGAGCGTACTATCTAACTTATTAATTTTATTTAAAGAGCTATTTACACGATCTACTTTGTTTGTCACATCTTCTATGACGTTAGAACAATTCAGCTGAAAGTTTAGAACAAAAATGATAGATCATCATCCTATTTATTGGATTTTTTTTTCTCCGTTCAAACTACTGATTTTAATTTTCGTTTCACCCCACAAATGACAATGTGTATCAAAAAAGTTTTGGTACTTTTTTTTCGTGCAAATTATTAGAAAGCATGCAACGATCTCCACCTAATGATTCATGGTATTAAAAAAAAAAGGGTCGGAACGTATAATCGCTCAAATACAAACCCTTGAATTTCTCTCTTTGTCCACGACCACCGCCGCCGCGTTCTTTCTCCTGGCCGACCTCTTCTCCCGTACGTAATCGAGAAATTCGGCGCAGGCCTTGCGAAAGTCGATCGGCGCGCGCAGATACGACTTGGTCATCCTCGGATCGGAGGACTGGGGCAGGACGCGCTCGACGATCGACTTGGGCAGAGCCTCGGGCAGCGCGGGACCGAGCGAGCGCATCGCGGCGCTCTGGATCTTCGCCCGATCGTTGATGTTGCTCTTCATGCGCTTCCAGAGCTTGAACACGAGCAGATAGCGCACGAACATGAGCTCGGTTTCCGGGTTCGCGGGGATCCGAGTGAAGATTCTCCTGAAAAGCCAAAAAAGAATTGATAAATTGAAAGTGGCACGGAGAAGGGCCGAAGAATCTTGATTAAACTTACATGAAAACTGGATCCAGTATATTGTTGTAGGACTCGCTTATCAGGCTTACTTTCATTAAAGTTTCGAGCATATACTCTGTTAAATTTTCTGTAAAATATAAACAGTTTTCATTATAAAATATCAACAAAGCTATTAATAAATAGCATAAGAAATAATGCTTACCGAGATTTAATATGATATAACTAGAAATTCTATTCGAAATGCTTTCGGTTTGTGGCTGCACGTCTCTTTTTGACGAAATCAACTCCAGGTCCACATAAATAGCCAATAAGTCAGACATCGTTTCAAAATATTGTGCCTGCTTTTTATCCTAAAATAAATCATTTTTCAATTATTTTCATAATTTCGGGTACAAATCTTTCATTGTACATAATTGACTCAATGTTCTCTCGCTTTATAATTTTTAATCCAGATTATCGATTCAATACACGACGCCATTTAGCAATGCTAAATTTATACATTTCTCCGATGACATATTTTTATTTCCAAATAAAATCAATCCGCAAAAGCGCTACGAAAAATCATGACTACATTTAATCTTTGAATTAAAACTTTAAACTTTCGAAACTCGCTAGAGATGCTTTTGTTGCGCGAGAGAGCGAAATAACAAAGCGTGTCTATATTTTACGAATTAATGGGCCCTTACCTCAGAATTCTCGAAACGGCGAAGGTAAGTAAAGAAGGGTAATGCTTCTTTAATTATTTCCTTCAATTTCGCAGCTCGTAAAGATTTCTTGTAACACAGCTCTAAACCTTTTCTAGCATTACTATAATTAAAAGAAAAGAAATCATCAATCTTTTGAAAAGTTGGCTTTCCTACGGTGGTTGTTTTATGTTTAAATAATCTCAAAACTGTGTCTGTTTACCTAAGCAAAAACGTCATCAGCATTATTAAGGTCGTCGAGCGAGTCGGAGTCAGACTCGACTTGCACAGACCCTGAAATTCCTTCGTCCATGGAAATGTTTCCATTGTGATTGGCTTTTTCAAGAGCAATCCAATTGGACGAGGTATTTGTATTTCTCTCGCATGGCTGATGTTTTCTTTAGTCTTTATGGATTCTGAATGGAAAAAAAGGTAAAAAATTTCATATTTATTTTTCACGCTTCTCGTGTTTTCATTTGGAAAATATCGTTGACATAATTTATCATTGTTGTATTTAAACACGTGTACACGCATAATTAGTTCAAAACACTAATATTTAAAGTCATAGCAGTTGAAACATAGTTTTACACGTAAGATGTTTTCCACACAGAAGTTCGCGTTTGAAAGTTTTGTGCGTGCTATATATATGTATGAAAACGCATGTATGTATGTGTAGGGTACTTTCTAAACACACGTCACTATAGCGAGTAAGTTAGTGAAGTTTAGTTGAATTCTTAGGTGTTAGAGGTCGCTCGATAAATGAATTATTAAACGTCAAGTAAATCAATATATTTCATATGATGATACAGTTCTTGTTGATTATACAAAAGATAAAATTACAAATTGACTACTTTTAAAGGTATACCTCCTTTGTCGTAATATCAAATAAATATAATATCGATCGTAAAATTTTTCATTATATTTATTGTTAATTTCGTAATAATAAGCAATGAAAAGCAATTAATTTACGAATTGTTTGTACAAAAAAATAAAAAGCATTTTGTTATTTGTACCTCCTTCTTAGTTATCAAATAATAAATAACAATATGTCGTATAACTCAGAAGTTGGAAGTTATTATAATAATTGAAATTGTCATTGTTTTTGCAGTGTTAAATTAAAATGTTTTCCACAAATAGTGCTTTTGGAGTGAGTTCATACACATGTGGAAAAAAAGTATAAAATAAGTAGCTGTTAAACAATCATGCCAAAAATAAGCAATAATAATCGGGCCGCATTACGCACTAATAGTGCAGTACCAAAAAATGAGAATGAAGAAAATGTGTACACGTATTAGTGTAAAGCCGGGTGAAAATTAACCACACACACACACATACAACGCGTGTTGCAGCGAGTAAAATGCCATGTCAATACGATTTTAATCCGCCACCTTTACATCGTTTAATTGTTTAAATTAAATTCGTTTGTTTAATGGCTAAAATACTCACGAAATTTCTCTTCGGCAAACTTCGGTAAGCAACACAGACCCATGTTTTAAAGTAAAACCTAGGAAATAAATTTTAGAAATCATTCTAACGCAGCGAGCGCGTGTTTAGTGATATTCACGTTGCTCCGAAAGTGAGAAAGAGCAGCAGCAGCAGCAGCAGCAAGACGCGTTCAGACACACATGCGTATAGCAGACGCGCAGACACACAGACGCAGCGTAAGCGAGGAAATAAGATGCTACTGCGTCGAAAACCGTTGCCAGACTAAAATGAGATTTCCCGAACAATACGCGTAGCGCAGCGCTCGCCTAGTATAGTGTCGAGAGAGTGAGAGAGAGAAAGGGAATATACGCATAGAGTGAGAGAGAGAAAGAGAGAGACGCAGCTGCCGGCCGCAACTGCTGTTGTGTAGTGAACGTAACGGACACATATTTTAGAGAGAGAGAGAGAGAGAGAAAATGTAATACTTACGCATCTTTAGCACGTAACAATAAAAAACCGTGAAATTCATAAATTATATTATCGCGCATTTTTTTTCTAGCAGTGACCGAATGGAATCGTAACATCGTCGCCCTGCGCGTATTTACCTATATAAGCCTGAGAATGTTTATTGGGAGACACTTTATATTGTGCAGAGGCAAGAGAGTTTCAGAGTTTTTGGCTCAAAAGGAAGGTGTAGCATAAAAGAAGAGAGCGACTTTCTTGGAAAAATTTGCGGATGTTTTTTTCGGGGAGAATTGGGTATTGAATGGCCTTTTTATATTATACCGCAGCGCGTGTATCGGGTGTCTGCTGCTTGCGTCGCGAGAGCAGCGATCGATTCGACGCGAAAAAAATATAGGAGTAAATAAACAATCCAATCAAAGTGAGAGGAAGATCAGAAGATGACACGTGAGATACGAGAGTTGTGTTATAACATACCGGCATGTTATCTAAATTTGAAGATACGATCGCGGGATAACGGTAGAATACGTAACGCGACTGTATATCATCGATGAACTGTTATACATTGCGTTTGAATAATTGCGTGGTTTTGTTTGTAAATTATACACAACGATCCCAGACTTGACAAGAGACTGCCTATTGATGCGTTAGAATCGAGTTATGCCACGATGAATCGCCAATTTTCAGATTCGGACTCTGTGCTGCTGCTCTTCGGTGTGAGTTTTGAGATTGTAATTACATTTTAAAATCGTTATTCGAGATGATTCTTTCATTAATATAATATCGTGCTAAATGGAAATTTTTTTATTCGCAAAGTCTTGTTACATTATACATTACAATCGCGTCGTTCTCGAGAGCTAGGTAAGATATCTTAAAACATTAAATTGGGTTTTATACTTTTCAATAATTGATGCCGCTTTGTATCCTGTTCTTGCGAAAAGTTTTCAAACATCGACACACAATGCGATTTGCATATTAAACTTAATAAGCTGCAGCTTCGCTCGACACTCCGTGTGTTTGATAATCGCATATATTTATTAGAAGCTCTCGGTATACAAATTTATTATTATACGATAATCACAGCTCTATATAAGGCGTTTTCTCGAGCGAGCCTTACGCAATTAACCTGTCATCGCGCCTGTATATAAAGTTCGATATTCGAGCCTTATAACTAACTATCGTCGGGCGCGTGCAATTTCTTCTCTCTCTCTCTCTCTCTCTCTCTCTCTCTCTCTCTCTCTTAATTACCCGGCGCGAGAGAGAGGATAATAATCATGTTTGCAATCAATATTTGCATATAGAAAAGTGACTCCAACCTAATTTGCCGGCCGTAAATACTCTCATGAATTTGTCTCACAAATCGCTACATAAAATACGAATTTATGATCTAAAAAAAAAATAAAATATCGAATTTCGATGTAGGTATTGGTACTATTCGTAATTTAAAAAGCAAACATCTGTCGTAACTCGTCGAGTTTTCATCGAAGCTTAATAAGGTTAATAAACCACGCGGCGGTGTGATTGTACATGACTCGACACGAATTCACGCGCGCGTCATATTAAGCGCCCCGACGACCGATCGCATCGCATCGACGAATCAATTTGAATAATTTTTTTTTTCCACCTACTAATCCGCTCCTGTTTCATCGCGCGTTAACAAAATAAGCGGGAGGTTCGAGACAGGATGGTTTATATACGGTATATAGACGCAAAAAGTTTGACTCGAGGTAAAGAATATAATCGAGTCGAGTTTAGAGAGAGAGATAAGAAGCTGGCGCGGACCAAAACATTAAAGAGACACTGCCAAGCGCAGATACATCGAGCGAGAGATAGATGAAAATCTTCGGTATAATCCCGCGCGCCCGAAAAGTTTTCGAACGTCAATTAAAATGAAAGTACCACTATCACAGCGCGTCGTCGTTATACGTATAAATTGGTCGATAAGAAACGAGAAGCCGAGGAAAATTAACGCGTTCAATTTTTGCGACGAAAGTATAGAAGAAGAAAAGCGCCATTATTTAAACAAAAGCGAAAGAAGAAGAACGAAGATAAGAGATATATCGAGCGAAAACTTGGGAGCGCATCCATGTGTGTATTATATAAACGAAGTACATACGTTCGACCAACGAATTCTCTCTTTTCTCGAGACCCTTTTCTCTGCAGCGACACACACACACACACACAGTACACACGCGCGCGCGCGTACCTAAATGTAAGTACTGCGGGGCCGAAGGCCAGTACCGTATGTACGCCTAAGAAAGAAGGCAACGAAAAAAAAAAAAAAACATAAACGAAGCCCCGAGCATTATGTGTATTTATGTATACTCCGGGGTTGTCAACAGAAAAGGGGGTCCATCGCTGCCGAGCCGCGCGCCGCGTGTACACAGCGTATACTGTAATATAAGTTGGCGTTTTTCTCGGGCGAGCCGAGAGTTTATGCGAACACGTACATACGCGGCCGCTGCATTTTGTGTTTGTGTGTGGATCACGCTGCGTCTTTATTATTATTATTATTATTATAATAATTATAATTATAATGATAATGCGCGAAAGTGTCGGACGATGAACGAGATGTATGCATATAGGCACTGTACAATGTATAGAGCACATTTTATCGCGTCGTCTCTTTTGTGTCGCTCAAAGGGAAGCTCTACATATATTACAGAGCAGCAGCGAAATATATATGACATCGATCGGCACTTGGCTCTCTCTCTCACTGTGTGTCGCGAAAGTGCGATATAGAGGCGACGATTCGCGAGGGCGTACGATATACACAGATGTGCATAATATGTGACTCGATGAGTGAGCGAGTGACTGCGCGAGTGTACGTACAAGAGATGAAGGTACATCAAGTTTTGTGCTCATCCGCATGCATACACACCGTAATACACACGCGAAGTATAATTTTCACAGCAGCCCACCGACAGTGTTGCGCGGCGCAGAGATGAGGAGCTCGAGCATGTGTATACGAAATCCACACACCCTTGTGTGATTTGGGAGAGGTGAGAGTGTAAAATAAGGTGAGTAACTTTTTCGCGCGTGCGAATATATAAGAGCAGACATGCGTTGAATAACGTGCAGCAAAAAAAAAAAAATGGAAAAAATCCAGCATGCTACAATGACGAAAGAGGGGGTGTAAGTACGAACCGGGAGTAGAAGTAGTAGTAGTAGTAGCAGTAGTAGTAGTAGCAGCACACGTTGCTGCTGCCTTCGCCGACTGGTGCTGCACAGCCACCACCGCCGCCGACTGCATCATCTTGAGAGAGAGCGAGAGCGAGCGAGTGGTATGCGTGGTAAGAACGAGAGTAGAAAAAAACGAACGAACGAAGCGTAGGAAAAAATGCAGCAACAGCACACCACGGACTAGGCTCGCAGCAGAGGCAATTAATCGGCCCTCCTCTCGCTCTCTTTCTCTTCGGGGGGGTTGCAGCAGAGCGACGCTTCTCTCTCTCTCCTGCTGCGACGACTACGACGAGCGTGTGCCTCTTTCCTCTCTCTCTCTGATGTATATACTATATTTGCGACCCCC